GACTCATAGCAACCCCTCCTTGGATTTCCGAGGCAGTATCCCTACGGAAGTAGATTGCCCCATCTTCCTTCCGAGGAGTGGCTGGTTGGTTTGAACCACCAGCCTTCTGGTTAGCAGTCAAATGCCTTAGGCCCTATGCCACCAGAGCTCCATTCGGTGGCTTTAATGAAAAAACAAATTATTTTCTCATGGTTTAGAAGTCTGTTGTTGTGAGATGCTATTGAATCAGTTCTGATTCATTGTGACACTGTGTACAACAAAAGCAAACACTGCCCAGTCCTGCACCATCCCCTCAATCATTGCTATGTTTGAGCCCATTATTGCAGCCACTGTGTTAATCCATTTCCTTGAGGTTCTTCCTCTTTTTTGCTGACCTTATACTTTACAGAGCATGATGTCCTTCTCCACAAGTTGGTCCCTCCTCATAACATGCATCTAAGGCACAGTCTGGCTGTTCTTCCAAGATAGATTTGTCTAGAAGTCCAAATTCAGAGTGCCAGCTCTCGGGGAAGGCTCTCTGTCTCCTCTAGGGGAAGATCCTTGTTTCTTATCAGCTTCTATTCCTAGGTTCCTTGATGATTGTGTGGCAGCTTCCCCCTATATTTGTACCTTTCTTAATCTGCTGTTTTAGATCTCAAAAGGGATTGGTTTCAAACACACCCTACACTGATACTGCCTCATTAACATGACAGAGAAAAACCTTTTTCCCAAATGGGATTACAACCACAGGTATTGGGATTAGGATTTATAACATCTTTTTTGGGGGACACAGTTTGTTAAGTTTTCAGTCTTCTTTTCTCTCTTTTACTGCCAGAAACTTCTGTTCTCTTAATACAAGTAGGACTTTTCTGGGGGGATTTGTACTTAGTTCCTCTGCAAATCCAAATACTTTTTTTTTTTTTGAGAGTAAGAACAATCTTTTCTTCCATTGTAACTATATAGCTACAAAACTTTTTATGCATGATAGATACATAAAGTCTTGAAAAGTCTAATAAAATTAAACAAGAAGTTGGGAGAGACTGTGGTAGACACATTTTGTAGTTTAGTCACAAAATAGCAAAGGCTAACGTGGTTCCCATTGTTGTTGTTAAGTGCCGTCGAGTCGGACCCAACTCATAGCGACCCCTCCTTGGGTTTCTGAGGCAGTATCACTACGGAAGTAGATTGCCCCATCTTCCTTCTGAGGAGTGGCTGGTGGGTTTGAACCGCCAGCCTTCTGGTGAGCAGTCAAGTGCCTTAGGCACTGTGCTACCAGAGCTCCCTAACATGGTTCCCATAGTGTAGTGGTTATCATGTTTGCCTCACACAGAGTAGCACAGGTTAGAGGCAGTGTTCCATCTGCGCTCTTCCTTGGAGAAATGGTGGTGTCCCCTCCCTCTTGTGCTTTAAGCTTTCCCAAGTCTTAACTTAGATGTAACTAGTGCAGTGAGCTTTTTTTTTCCTGCCCCACACCTTTTTTCCCCCAGTATTCATTTGGGTGAAAGTTTACAGAGCAAATTCATTTTCCATGCAATAGTTGATACACATTTTGTTTCATGATACGGATTGCAAGCCCCATAAAATACCAGATCTCTTCCCACTTCCTTCCTGTGGTTATTCTTTCCCTGTGCCTTCTTTCCTATGCATTCCTGCCCCCTGAATTATATCTCCCTCTGCAAATACTGCCCTTTTGGTCTCCCATAGCTGTTCTAAGGAGTGTATCTCTCTGGTGTAAATGTTCACCTTATATGCCTGTCTGTTATTGGCTGGAACCCATGGGAGTGAGTTCAATTCCAGGTGCAAAGGATCACTAGGGGCCTTAGTCTAAGGGGTTTCACTAGTCTCTATCAGCCCAGTAAGCCTGATCTTTTTTAAAATCCATGTATTCTTACAGAAAGGACCATAAGATAGGCCACATATTTACTGGGACTTTTCTCATGTATATTCATTCATGATGTGACCCAGAGATTGTAGTTTCTACAGAATGCAGGCCACTGGGGCCTCTCAAATGTAGCAGTGAAAAGTAGCACCATTCTGTTAAAGTTGTCTAATATTTTCATCTTTAAAAAATGCAGTGCATAAGTCTACAGGAAGTAGTGTAGAATAATTCCTCCATTTCTCTATAGAGCTTTACTACTTAACCCTTTTATGACCTATGGGACATATAGTGCCCACCTACATTTTGCACCTCAGGTTTCCTGGGAAGCTGCTAACCTCCTTTTAGTGTATGCTGCCATCTATCAGGGGCCTTTATGACTGTGTGAATCTGAAGAAATGGGCCTCAGAACCAGAGACCCCTTGAGATATATATGTCCCACTAGTGGTATCAAAATCCCTATTACCTCCAAATATACATATATATTTACATACATATATATTACATATATATATAAAATACAACATATATATATATTACACATATGTATGTGTGTGTGTGTATATATATATATATATATATATATATATATATATATATACACATATAATATAACATATAAGGAGCTCTGGTAATGTAGTGGCTAAGGCACTTGACTGCTAACCAGAAGGCTGGCGATTCAAACCCACCAGCCACTCCTTGGAAGGAAGATTGGGCAATCTACTTCTGTAGTGATACTGTCTTGGAAACCCAAGGAGGGGTTGCTATGAGTCGGGTCCGGCTTGGCACATAACAACAACATATTAAAAAAAACATACTAAAAAAAAATATGCCTTCCATTACTGAAAACATAGAATTTCAACAAAAAATTCAAAGCAGACAATAATTTGGTCTTGAAGGGGTTAACAGTAATTTTGGGCCAGCAACTTTGCCATCACCTGACAGCTAACTTGGAAATACAGAATCTCATATCCTACCGTGATACCTACTGAATTAGAATCTGCATTTTAACAAGAGCCTCAGGTGACTTGCATTCACAACTTTAAATAATACCAAAATGTATATAGCATGATAGGGAGTGCTACGGGAGCTCTGGTAGCATAGTGGCTAAGGCACTTGACTGCTCACCAGATGGCTGGTGGTTCAAACCCATCAGCCACTCCTCGGAAGGAAGGTTGGGCAATCCTACTTCCATGGTGATACTGCCTCGGAAACCCAAGGAGGGGTCGCTATGAGTCAGGGCTGACTCGACGGCACATAACAACAACAACAACAGGGAGTGCTACTATGCCCTCAGTGATATTACTGGGCTTCACTGGTCAAATAGAAAAATAATCTGTGAAAACAAGTAGGTAAATACAGTTATTCTAAGTAGGAGGGAATAAAATGAAGAAAAGAAAGTAATATTTAAGAGTTAACTGTATCTGACACAACTTACATGAATTCACTTTACCAAAAACTGATTACTTTCTTAATTAGAAAGAAGGCATTTCACATAACGCAGTTAAAAAGTAAGTTCTGTCCACTTATGAAATTAGTTTGCTGTTTCATGGATTGAGGAAGGGAGAAGAAATGATCATAAAATAAGTCGAGTTTAGATTGTCTTTGGGGATAATATGATTTAAGTGACATTTACGCTTTGTCTACAGAAAATCAGTCTATCCAAGACCCGGCACCTATGTTGGAAGGTGAATTGGGTTTAAAATATGCCTTTGGAAATCTTTGAATCATTGAATATAATTAATGAATGGCCATTTATGATAATGCATGAGAACTTCAATGCTAATGATACCCTAAATCTGATAACTTACCATTTTACCTTGGGCTACTTAATTGAAACAAATTTTGGAACTGATTGTATTTACATGATACTACAAACACCTTTAAAATTTTTATTTTAAGATGATGATGTTGTGTTGTTGTTACGTGCCGTCGAGTCGGACCCGACTCATAGCGAGCCCTCCTTGGGTTTCTGAGGCAGTATCAGTATCTGGTAGCCACTATGCTACCAGAGCTCCCTTTAAGATGAATTGTTTTTCTTGACAGTTTCATTTTAAAAAAAGGAAATTTATTGAAGTTGACAGTTTGTTGTAAGCTTGGACTTTTTTTTTTTTTCCCTCCATGTAGCATTAAAATAAAACCTTAGCATAGATATTTGAATGCTTATTTATTTTATAAATAATCCCCAAAGTAAAGATTATAAAAATTATTAGTGTTAGGTGGTTAGGCTCTGTTTTTTTAATTCAGTGTTTCTACCATGTTAGGTCCCTGCTGGGGCAAATGGTTAGCTCTCAGTTGCTAACTGAAAGTTAGCAGTTATCCATCCGGCACTGTCAGGGAAGAAAGGTCTGGCAGTCTACTTTCCAGTGATTACAGCCATTGAAAACCCAGTGGAGAGTGCAGTTCTACTCTGAAAACCGTGGGGTTGCCAGGAGTCAGAATTGACTTGACAGCAATGGTTTTGAAGCTTTGTTTTGTTTTTTACCATGGTTAGCATTTGTGGATGATTAGATTGTATTGAATTACACTTTGAGGAACAGAAGATTTCTGCTTTGGATTCTTTTTTACGTTGAATATATCAGATTTTTTTTTTTTTTTTTTAAGCAAACTAGGGAGATTTCATTTTTCTTTATTAATTGAGAATGTAAATTGGTCTTTGAAGGTTATACACCAGTATAAAGACTTCAGTATGCATAAATTTAGCACAGCTCTTTCACTTTAAATGGAAATAATGTCAAGAGATTTTGCCTACTAGGCCTATCACTATTAGAGGTAATGAGTTGGAGAATCCAGGACTACATAGAGATCCCCACAGCTTGGCTGGTAGAACTTTTCTGATAGTTATTTCACGTTCAAGGCAGAATTTGAAGATAGTATTTGATGGATAGGCGCTCTGGTAGCATAGTGCCAAAGGCACTTGACTGCTAGCTAGAAGGCTGGAGGTTCAAACCCACCAGCCACTCCTTAGAAGGAGGGTTGGGCAATCTACTTCCGTAGTGATGCTGCCTCGGAAACCCAAGGAGGGGTTGCTATGAGTCGGGTCCGACTTGACAGCACATGACAACAACAACAAACACGATTAATACAATTTTTTTTTCTTTTTTTCAAGATTCTAAAGGAAAATGCCTTCTTTTACCTGTTGTAGGTCCACAGAATGGTTGGAATGATCCTCCAGCTTTGAACAGAGTACCCAAGAAAAAGAAGGTACTAGAAAAAGATTTGTGCCTATCCATCTAATTACCTACAGATTCTGTTAATCATGTAGCCCCTTGGAGCACACCACACTTCACTGATCCTATTAAAGGCAAAGCTACTGACTGGTGCATTTGAAGTATATTTCAACACACATCTTCTAACCTAGGAGGGAAAGAAAGAAAGTAGAAAAACCTTTGTCTGATGACAGCACTGTGAAACAAAGCCCTTTTAGGAGGCAAGATTTAAATTCTCAACAGGCCTCTTTCAAAAAGTAATGAACACAATTTCAGGCTTCTCAAATGATATTTTTCTAGGAATTACTTTGGTTTTTGGGTTCCTACATTATTCATGAATTTGGAAATTGTATTTTGGATTATTTGATTTATAATAAAGACTTTGTTCCTGGTAGTTATGTTCTTTAAGTTGCTGCAAACAGTGAATTAGTGAATACGCAACCATTGCTCCTGATCACACTTTCATCAACTGAGCAACACATAACTTTGTTTTACATGTGTTTATATTTAAAGACAGGAGCTCTGGTAGCGTAGTGCCTAAGGTACTTAACTGCTAATCAGAAGGATGGCGGTTCAAACCCACTAGCCACTCCTCGGAAGGAAGGTGGGGCAATCTACTTCCGTAGTGATACTGCCTCGGAAATCTAAGGAGGGGTTGCTATGAGTCAGGTCCAACTCGACGGCACATAACAACAACAACAACATATTTAAAGACACCTTATTTGATATATTGTTGGTTCATTAACATGGAACTCAAAGCCAGCAGTACTATAACTTTAACCTGAACAAAGCTTATCTGACACATATTTTATCCATAAGACACATTAGCCTTTTTGAGCTTGGAAACACTAGACTGCATTTTAGTGGTACTCTTAGGGGCCTTTGAAACAGCACATCAACAACAAAAAGCACAAAAGAATGAAAAATGTGATATTGAGTAGACCGTGAAAAGTTCATTTATTTACAGTAAAAGAACTGAAATAAGACAGCATGTAACCTTATTTGATCACAACTGGGAACACGCACATCAGGCAACTCAAATTTTCTGCCGCTCTGCATGTCCATGAATGATTGCAAAAGTGCCATGAGTAATGATGTTGGGCTTACAGATAAGTTTTAGTGAGTAGGCAAGTTTGCAAGTATAGACCATGACTAATGAGGGTTGACTATATAATGTGAATGAAGAAATAGCCTTGTAAATGATCATTATTTAAATGTCAATAACTGTTGAGAGCTATAAGAGTGTAAAAAAATACGGTTTTGACTTCCTTTCATGAGGGAAGGTGTGGAAGCCAAGGCAAGACAGAAGTTTGGGTTTGAATTTCTCAACCCCACCCCCTTCCTTGGCCAGATTAGCTCTGCTTTTGTGTGTTTTCTTCTAGAGTCCTTTACAAAATTTCATTTGAAAAATGGGTCTTACTACCATTAAATAACAACCATGGATATATTTGACTCCCTTATTTAAGGCTGAAGAAATGTTGTTGTCATTTTTATTCTTATTCTTGTGTTTTTTATTTCTATCTTTAAAAAGATGCCTGAAAACTTTATGCCTCCTGTTCCCATAACATCACCAATCATGAATCCTTTGGGTGATGCTCAGTCACAGATGCTGCAGCAACAGCCGTCAGCCCCAGTACCGCTGTCAAACCAAGCTTCGTTCCCACAGCAGCATTTTTCAGGCGGCCAGCCCTTCCATGGCATACAGCAACCTCTTGGTCAACCAGGCATGCCACAGTCCTTTTCAAAGCCCAATATTGAAGGTGCCCCAGGGGCTCCTATTGGAAATACTATCCAGGTAACAGTAAATCTGTGGGAGATGGCTTTATTCCTTAATGTGTTAAAAGATGGTATGTTTATCCTTTATGATTACATCTAAATTTGGTTTCAACTGAAGACAACTTTAATAAAAAATGGCAGTTTTTTTTAAAAGATAGACCATTTATATATTACTTTTTCCATCATAAAGCCAAATAAACAGTCTAGAAGAGGGTTATATATTTGCACTATATATGTCACTTTAACTTGGAAGTTGGAGTATTTCACTTTACTTAAATCAGGAGCTACAATTTAAGATCAGTTAAATCACCTTTGTAACCTAGGGTGCTAATTAGAAGCAGTTTCTAAAAATATTTTTACTTTTAAAGTATGAAATAAAATGAAAAGAGTTATATCTTATCATGTATATGAATAAGAGCAAATAAATTACAGCCTTATCCTTGGATAGA